GAAAGGTCCAAAAAATCGTTTGGACAGCTTGTGAGAGGGACGACGTTCTACTGACACTTGACGATATGGTTAGAGTTTCAAAAGCACGAGGTCGCCTTCTAAAAAGGTGATATCTTGTCTATTTATGTTTGCTTCTTTTTGCATGTTTTTCCTGCTTTTGTCTAAGTTTTGCTTCAGAACTCTGAGTATTTCATCTCTTTGTTGTAGTGATGCATCTACTGTGGCGAGAGTGGACGATCTTGGATTGTATTGCAGTAAGGAAGGAGGTGAACGACCATATAGAGCTTCAAAGGGTGTCATCATGATTGCACTATGGTAAGCTGAGTTATGCCAAAACTCTGCTAAGTGTAAGTGTTTGAACCATTGTTTAGGATGGTCGCTTGTAAAACACCTTAGATAGGTTTCGAGACATCTGATAACCACTTCTGTTTGACCGTCCGTTTCAGGGTGATGGGCGGTGTTATACTTTAAGGTAGTTCCTTGAGCGCGGAAGAGTTCTTTCCAAAAGGTGCTAAGGAAGAATGGGTCACGGTCAGAGATAATCGTTCTTGGGATGCCATAGAGTCGGTAGATCTCGACTGAAAATCTTAGAGCGAGATCTTTTGCTGAGAATTTGGTGGGAAGACCGATAAAGTGACGGAACTTCGTCAGCTTGTCGCAGACGACCCAGATTACCGTGGGACCAAAAGATACTGGGAGGTGTGTGATAAAGTCCATGCTTAAGTCTTCCCATACTTGATTGGGAAGTGGTTGTAGTAAGCCCTGCTTCTTCTGAGTCATGTATTTATTTTTCTAACATGTTGAGCAGTTCTTAACAAACAACTTGGTATCCTTGTAGATCCCTGGCCTACGAAACGAAGCTGACAAACGAGCGAGTGTTGGTTTGAGTCCTGAGCGACCTGCTGCAGAAGTAGAGTGGAATTCGTGTAGAATCTGGTGTCGCAATTCTGTCTCTGGAGGTATATACATCTTATCTTTGTAGAATACTAGACCCTATTTGATTTGAAACAGTGGACTTGCATTCTGATCAGCTACTATCTTGCTCATAATTTCCTGACCTTCTGGTTTTTCTTTGTAGAACTGCTGAAGTAGAGATATGAGTAACGGAATTTGAGATGAGATTGAGAAGAACACTGCCTCTGACTCCGCCTCAATGCGACTCAAAGCATCGGCGACCTTGTTAGACTTCCCAGGTTTGTAGAATATGTCAAATTGAAACCCTTGCAATTTAGCTGCCCACTTCTGTTGTTCAGGGGTCTGGATTGTTTGAAATAACATATTTTTTAAACTCTTTTGATTTGTATATATGTGAAAATGTCTACCAATTAGATATTGACGCCATTTTTTTTACAGATTCTATAATGGCGTACATCTCACGAACATAGACAGATGAAGCATGAGGTCTGTTACACAAATTTTTGCTGAAAAAGGCTAATGGATGACCTTGTTGTGAAAGAACCGCGCCAATGGCTACTGCAGATGCGTCTGTTTCGAGGACAAAGGTTTTGGAGAATTCAGGAAGACAAAGCACTGGAGTTTCTATCATTTTCGTTTTTAAACATGTAAAAGTTGTATCAGCAGATGTACTCCAAACTAACTTAGTGGATTTTAAAAGATCGGTGAGAGGAGCGGCGAGAGAGGCGTAATGACGGACAAAGCGTCGATAAAATCCGGTGAGGCCTAAAAAAACCCTGAGAGACGTGAGAGAACGAGGCTTCGGCCAGTCTAGAATCGCCTGAATTTTTGATGGATCTGGGGTTACACTTTTACTTAAGATAATATGACCTAAATAATCAACACTTGAAACAACAAAAACACACATGGAAAGTTTGGCATAAAATTGGTTAGATAAAAGTAAGTCTAAAACCAACTGTAAATGGTGTGCATGTTCAGTCAGGTTAGAACTGTAAATCAAGATATCATCAAAAAAAAACTAAAACAAATTTACGTAAATACGAACGAAGCAAATCATTCATCGCAACCTGAAATGAGCTAGGAGCATTAGTTAAACCAAATGGCATAACTAAGAATTTGTAATGACCATCAAATGTGCGAAAAGCTGTTTTATGTGTGTCCTTTGGTGTTACCCGAATCTGGTGGTAACCAGATCGCAAGTCGATCTTAGAGAAAATAGTATCAGACCCCAACTCATCAAAAAGTTCATCAATGGTAGGAATAGGAAATCGATCTCGAACTGTTACGGCGTTTAAGGCGCGATAGTCAACACAAAATCACCACGACCCATCTTTTTTTCTAACCAACAAAACAGGGGAAGAAAAAGGGCTATTACTAGGTTTGATAATACCCTCTTGAATCATATCTTGAATGATAGTTGCCATTGCGTCCTTTTGTGAATGTGGGTAGCGGTAAGGTTTTACGTTTATGGGGTTTGTGTTAGGGAGAATGGGAATATGGTGATCATGAGGGCGTGATGGTGGTAAGCCGTGAGGTTGGTTAAAAACAATGGCATGTGAGGTGAGTATTGAAGTGATTTGGCTTGGGATGTTTTGTGGAAGGATGTCAAGAAGATTGGGTTTATTTATGGGGGTTGAGGACTTGTTGTTAGAGGAAGGTTGGTAAAGTAGGAGGTGTAATGAGGCAATGAAGTTTGTGTGTAAAAGCTGGAGAAATTGGCTGAGAGAGGACTGTTCGGCCACAGATTTTTGATCTCCCTTGATTATTATGTCATTGTTTTGTTATGTGAAGGAGATCTTGGGAATTGAAAAATCTGCCATAATTAGGCCCAGTGTGCGCAACCATTCCATACCGAGTACCGCATATGCCCCTTCAATCGGTAACAAGTGAAACTGAATGTTGAATAAGTTGTTTTGTAAGATTATTGGAACTTTTGGGCAAAGTCCAGTGCAGGACAGTTTAGATCTGTTTCCCACCATAACAGAAAAGTTGGGAATGGGTGTGGTGGGGAGTTTGAGGTGTTGGGCAATTCGGGGCTGTAGGATGTTATGAGTACTGCTTGTATCAATTAGGAAAGTCACTGTCATACCATTCAGTAAACCGGTAAGTTTAAATGGTTTGGGGGAAAAGTGGTCAATTGCTGCTTGAGGTGATAGTTGAAAGTAAGTATCGTTTAATTCTGAAGTTTCGGGCACTGTCCCCGCTTGGACTTCTGAATTTTCCGAACATGGAATTGGTGCTGTGTCAGCATCATCTTCTTCTAATAGTAACAAAAATTTTCCCGTGCTACATCAATGACCCGGTATAAATTTCTCATCGCAATTAAAGTACAATCCTTGACCGCGACGCTCCTGCATTTGAGCACTAGATAATTTGCAAATATGGAATTTGAGAGGTTGAGGGGTAGTTTGGGGTTTTGGGGCTAAAGTGCTTAGGGTTGTTGGTTGGGGTTGTGTGAGGGGCTTGTGATTGGGGTTGTGAAAGGTTTTCTGAAATTTGGGTTTTGAATCCCTTATTTTGGATTCAATCAGCTTTGCAAGTCCAATTGCTTGCGAAATTGAAGTGGGTTTGTGAATAGCAATTTCATTTTGTATATCTGCTACCAAACCAGAAATAAAACAATTGAGAATAGCATCTGGTTGTAAACCCATCACTTGAGTACCAAGTTTCTCAAAAGTTGCTTGATATTCAACAACTGAACCTACTCGTTTCAACTTAAACAATTCAGCTTGGTGATTAGTGTAGGTTGACAGTCCAAACCGAAGCTTCAATGCTCTTGTAAACGAGGGTCAATCGATTAAAAGATTACTTTGGTACATCCATTTATACCAACAAAGTGCTTCACCCTTCATATAAAATGACATCATTGATAATCTATTTTCAGGTGGTAGTTGGTAAAAAATCAAAATATTGGTCAGCTTGAAATAACCACTCAAGGGGGTTAGACCCATCAAACATAGGGAGTTCTAATTTTAGGGTTCGAAATGGGGGTAATGGTGTTTGAGGAAGAAATGAGGGCGGTGGAAGATTCTGGAAAATAGGTATATTATAGTTTTGAGGGATAGGTATGTTGCTAGTTTGTGTGGGAAAAGGTGAAGATGCGAATCTAGGAATGTGTTGGGGTGGGCCTGATGATGGTGGTTGGTATGGGAAATTGTGGGACTGTTGTTGTTGAATGAAAATAGGGTGGTTGTTGTTGTGAAGTAGGGAAACTATGAGGAGTGAAAATATTTGAAAAAATAGGGCTAAGGTGGGTTGTGGTCATGGGTATGGAGTGGGGAAAGGGGGTAATACCTGACGAAGAAGAAGAAGTTGCTCCTGTGTGAGTAGGAGTAGCTTGTTGTTCCTTTTGAGTAGCAATTTTTGTGAGGAGTGTCATGATGCTGTCATATTTAGAGTCTGAAATTTGTCTTTCCTTGTCCATTGTTGTATGGAGGAGTTCTAGATTTGCTGTGGTTTTGTGAAATCTCTCATCCTTTTGTTGTTGTGTCTCTTGCATTGCATTATCTAGATGGAGGTGAGCTGTATTGACAGACTCTTCAATGATATCTTTAGGATTAGGTGGTTTGGGAGGAGGAGCCATAATGAAAGCACCAAATTGATAAGATGAGTTCTATAATATTTTCTTAGATCTAGGGTTTCACTAAGAATACACATAAAAGAAGTTAAAGGAAGAAAAATATAACTTGTGAATTAATTTCTTGTTTTCATCTCAACAACACAAGTCTTTAAATACAAAGGTAATTCTAATTAAAATGGATTAGTGGATCAGCACATCCATAAAATAGTACTAACAACATTAAATTAAATTAAATAAACATTATTTAGAAATAAAGTCTTTCCTCCATTTAGGTTGGGCTCTAATACGAATGAGACTCTTCTCAAATACAAACTTTATTAGCAACATCAAACTCATTCATATGAAAAATAAATGCTCACTTCTATCTTTATCACAACAATTCATTCATATGAAAAATAAATGCTCACTTCTATCTTTATCACAACAATTGTCCATTTCCTGAGTATGAAAAGGTGTATGATAAAACTTAAATATTCTTGGAATTTGTTTTCTCATGGACTAGATTTCAAAGACAACGAGTAAAAGGAATCAAACACAGGTCACTTTTTCTTCCAGCTGTAATCCCTAATTTCTCTGTCATATCTAATTCTTCATTCTTCATTCCATTAGGAAGCTTCCAATCAAAGTGGTAAAGTAAATTAGCAAGAGGCAACTCAACATTAGGTAAGCCAAATGCCATGCCTGGACAAATCCTCCTTCCAGCACCAAACGGTATGTATTCAAAGTTTGTACCTTTGAAATCAATTTTAATATCAAGAAATCTCTCCGGTTTGAAACTCTCAGCTTCAACCCAAAATTTTGGATCTCTTCCAATAGCCCAAGCATTTACCATGACTCTTGCCTTAGCTGGAATATCATACCCATTGATTTGACATTTCTCCCTACTTTCTCTTGGAATCAACAATGGTAGAGAAGGATGCAACCTCAATGTTTCTTTGATGACAGACTTTAAGTATATACATTTATGTATCTCTGACTCATCCACATACCCCTTTTTATCAAACACTCTTCTTACCTCTGATTGTGCTTCTTCCATTATCTTTCGGTTCTTTACCATCTCAGACATCCCCCATAACACAGTTCCTGAAGGTGTTTCGGTACCACCAATGAACAAGTCCTGCAAAGGGATATCAGTAATTACAAAAGTTATTACTTATATGATATTTTCAAATTCTAAGATTATTATTACAAATACAATTATTGTGTACTTATTATTAGATATATTTTGACCAACCGGAGTATATATGCAAAAATAGATTTAATACAAATACAATTATGTTGTACAGATGAAAAAATAGACATCTTTGAATTTTTGTACAGATCTATAAAAGAAGAGATCAATATTTAAACCAACAGATATTTAGGTATATGATTAAGTAGAAGGAAAACATATATGTGTTGAAGTGAGTATGCTTTTGGACTTAGACAATTTCGTATATATATTTTCATATATTTTTATTAAAACTCAAAATTTCATAATATCAAAATTCAATTTAATTTTGTTGTAAAGAAAAATAGTAATATTAAGTGTTTTAAATAATTTATTTCACAAATATCATAATCAAAATTCACAATGTAATTAGGGTTGTTCATGGTTCACTTCTCTCGGCAAACTGAACCGAACTATATTAAACCATTATATAAGGTAATTTGAACTGAACCGAACTGTTTCAATTTTTTTTTAAAATTGAACTAAATCAAAAAATTTGGTTTGATATAATTGTTCGGAATTCTAAACCGTACGTACCAAATTATTGGAAGACAAAGTTTTTAAAACTAAATCATTTATTATAGAACCAAACTGTTGTATTTGTTTTTGATTTTTTTAAAATAAAAAAACCATTTTAAATTTTAAAAAAAAAAACTTATAAATGCATCAACCACAACCACACTTATAAATGCATATTTTAAACTAGTATTGAAAATTAACTTGTGAAAGTGTATGATTGTAAACTAACCTGGATGACTGATTTAATGCTATCATCAGTAAAGGTATATTGTGATTCATCATTTTCCTGTTGAATCTTGAGAAGAATATCCACTAGATCTTCATCCTTGCTTGCTTCTCTTTGACTTATTCTATGATCATTGATGATGTCTTGCATTATCTCATCAAGCTCTCTATGTAGTTTTTCCATTTTGGTCTTTGCCCAACTCACCCTTTCAAGTATTTTAATAGAAGGATATAAATCTGCAATACAAAATCCTCCCACCAGCCCTATTGCTTCATCTATTTTCAATCTCAACACTTCCTGGTGTCTGCACTTTTTACCAAAAGCTGCTCGTGTCAATATCGCACTTGTCGTCGAGTACATCATCTTATTGAGATTAACAACGGATGCTTCACTTTCAGATATTGATTTAACTAGTATTGAACACTCTTCTTCTCTTATGCACCTAAATGATTGGGCACGTTTTACACTTAATAGCTCAATAACACATATTTTTCGCAGTTGCCTCCAATGTTCTCCATACGGAGAAAACACAACGTCTGTAGCATTATAAGTAAGTACTGATGTCAAAAGAAGCATTGGCCTACTACAGAAGTTGAGGTCATGTGTTTTCGTAATTTCTTTCGCCATTTCGGGTGAGCTAACTACTATATATGGTATCTCACCAAGTTTTAGGTGCATCAAGGGCCCATATTTCTCTGCCAATTTTTTGAATATGCGTTGAGGCAGTGAGCTGCTGATAATCTGATGTAGATTTCCTATGAGAGGCAGTGTCCATGGTCCTGGTGGTAAATTAACAATGGATTTTTTACAACTCCATTTTTTAACTAGCTTAAAAATCACCAAGAGGAGCAAGAGAAAGGAGGTTACGAAGGAGATTTCAGAAAAAAGAGTCTGAAATTTCATGATGAGGAATTACAAATGGTGATGTTAGTGAGTGTTACTTCAGGCTTAGTCCATATTAATACATAACAAACATGGTTTATCAGAAGTGTTTTTTTAATAAATTATCAGAGATTTGATTTGATGTAAGGATAGCAAGTGTACATATTAAATAATCGCGTGATTTGATGTGCAAGAAGAGCTAAACAAGGTCAAAGTTGTGCGTTGGTCAAGGAGCCACGTGTGTGTTGATCGACGGAGCCACGTTGCACCTATAATTCTACATTTTAATATTTTGCGCCATTGGTTTTTTTACTTTGCATCACAAGCCACAAAGCCTTCTGCAACAACAGTTATGATATTCATTTACTATTAGGAGAAAGAAACAGCTTTTCTATTGATTAGATGATAAGATGGAGAGAGATAAACATAAAAATTTGTGTCTGGAAAATGGATTTTCTATTGAAATGTCCATCCAGTGAAATCAGGACCACACAATATAAAAGATATAAAAAGGAGATATTTTAATAGAATGATTGCAACTTCTCCCTATTCTCTAGTAAAATATTCACGGGAGAGAAGACTTTCCGATGTGTATGTATGTATACAATTATTTTATTAATAAATTGTTTATAAGTAGTATAATATTTTTTAAATAGATTTCTTAATTAATTATATAAAATTAAAATATTAATATCTATTTGTTAAAGTTGCAATTCGAAAACTCATTAAAAATTATTCTGTAAAGGAGCTGAATGAAACAAAAGTTTCACTTTCGGTTTTGAATTAGAGACGTTCATTCATAAACGTCGACTATAACCCTTAGCCTTCCAAGCTAATGATGCGGGTTCGATTCCCGCTACCCGCTTATATTCTATTTCTCTATATATTCTATTCTATTTTTTATTTAGTAAATTTCTTTAGTTAGTTTTAGTTATGAATATTCAATTGGAATGATTTCATTTCGTCTTATTCTATTTAGAATTTAATCAAATTGTATTTGGAAGGCTATCATTTTCAGAATTTTTTTTTTTTTAAATAATCACTATTTCCAATTTAAATATTAAAAAAATTTAAAATTTAAAAAAAAATACGAAATTGACAAAAACTGAATAGCCATATGAAATGGTTGATCAAGGTCACTTTGATCTGAGTTGCCATTTCATATAGCGTAAAAGTATAAAATAGGAACCTTACCCTACAGAGAGTCGCCATTTCATATGGTGCATCTCTTCTGTAGAATTTTTTTTTGTTTTTTTTTAGTTAATTTTTTTAAGTTTTAATATTTAATTAATTTTTAAAAAAATATTTGTTATTTTTGTTTTAATTTTAAATATTTTTTTTTGTTTTTCTAGTTAATATTTTTTAAAGTTTTAATATTTGTTTTATAAAATAATTAAATTTGTTATTTTAAATAATGTAAAAAAATATAAATGCAAGAAATAGTAAATTATAATAATTTATAATATAATAAAAATTAGATCAGATCAAAAAAAATAATTAATGGACGACTCTATCTAAACGACCACCGGTACCACATTGTGGAGGATGTGCGCGGCATCGAGGTCTACCACGAGGTTGTTGAGGTGTATCTGGTCTTTGCGTTTTGACCCGTGGAAGAGGTATTTGTTCGGATGACCCGGCGTATCAGATAAATTTTGAAGCATTTGACCCCAATAGTCTGACGGTCTACCACGAGGTTGTTAAGGTGTATCTTATGCTAGAGTGTAGTGTTGTCAAGCATGCATGCAAGTGTAGGCATGTAGAGTGCAGACAAATACTATAGCCATGTGTATACATTTATTAGTAAGAATCCTATAGGCATGCATAGAATTAGAGTGTAGACGCTAGGCATGCAAAGTACTGACGGTAGGCATGCAGAGTGTAGACGAATATTGTAGCCATGTGTATACATTTATTAGTAAGAATCTTATAGGCATGCATAGAATCCGAGTGTAGACGATAGGCATGTAGAGTACAGACGGTAGGCATGCAGAGTGCAAAAGGATACTGTAGCCATGTGTATACATTTATTAGTAAGAATCTTGTATGCATGCATAAAATCAGAGTGTAGACGGTAGGCATGCAAAGTACAAACGAATACTGTAGCCATGTGTATACATTTATTAGTAAGAATCTTGTAGGCATGCAGGGTTTAGTCTAGTCATGCAGCTCATCTTGCAGGCACGCAGGGTGTAGTCTTGTCATGCAGCTCATCTTGCAGGCACGCAGGGTTTAGTCTTGTCATGCAGCTCACCTGGCAGATGTAATAATAAAAGCAAGATTTTATTGTTATTAATACAGTAGAGATAGCTGAATTATTATCATATTAATTAGTAAAATAATCCATTCAAACACAAGTTTACTAAAATATTAGCTATGGCTCAAACACCACAATACATGATTAGTGCACATTTAAACGGTGAGGTTTTTGAATGTAACATATTCAGTTACAATTTCAGAAATACTGATGTTACGAGATTTTTGATTGACAGAAAGTCAAATTTTTTACACGTGAAGTCAAGATTAGAATAGAAACTACAATGTGATCCAGTTGGCCAAATAATCTACAAGAATCCGGTGTTCTTTGGCGGGCACGACAAATGCAATTTTTTCCCATTAAAGATTCAAGACGACGAAGATGTGCGTAGCATGTTCCGTAGTCATGAGTATTCCGGTTTCTCAGATATTGTGTTATATGCTACATTACAACAACAACAGTCTCAAAAACTTAATTCTTCTCAAGTTTTTTACGAATCTGATGAGGAACACGCTGAAGTCGATGTCATTGATGAAGAAGAAGAAGAAGCAGCTGAAGTCATTGTTGATGACATGGTAAACACCGAGGAAGAGGGGGTTCCACCCAGTCATGTTTATTGCTCACCTAAACACATGACAACTCTCGACATAGGTGACAATGAACCCTCAACAGATGTTTTTTACAAGCCTAAATACGCAACAAAAGGACTATTAAAAGAGGGTGACAAGTTTCATACAAAAGAAGATTGTGGCTGAGCAATTAAACAATATTACATGGACTTATCAGCAGATTATAGAGTCGATCGAACAGATCTGATTCTATATAAGATCTGTTGTCATAACGAGGTATGTCCGTTTCGATTAACCGCGTCTTTCCGGAAGAGAAATGATTCATGGAAGATAGGGTCAATGGGTCCAGCCCGCACTTGTATAATCACGAATCTGATGCAGGACCATTGCAAGCTCAACTCTCAATTGATTTACGATGAGATTCTATCAGTCATTAGCGACAACCCGTCTTTGAAGGTGAGTACCATAATTTCACATATGGTTCAAAGGTACAATTACACTCCTTCATAATGGAAAGTATGGATAACTAGAATTAAAGTGGTTGAAAGGGTGTTTGGAAATTGAGAGAGTCTTACAAAGAACTTCCAAAATTCTTGGTGGCTCTTAAACAATACTCTCCAAGGACTGTTGCCATATTGAAGACAATGTCAGCATATACACTAGACGAAACTTGCGTTGGTGGAAATGGCATTTTCCACAGACTCTTATGGGCGTTTGAACCATGTATCAAAGACTTTGCTTATTGTAAACCTATAATTCAATTTGGTGGCACATGGTTGTACGGGAAATATAAGGGCACGCTACTCATGGCTGTGACACAGGACGGGAACAACAACATTTTTCCAATAGCCTTCGCTATAGTTGAAGGGGAGACTGCTGGGGGTTGGAGTTTTTTCTTAAAAAATCTCTGCTTTTACGTTTCTCCCCAATCTAACTTATGTTTGATCTTTGGTAGACACCCATCAATCGAGAGTGCATACAATAACCTTGATAACGGTTGGCAGGATCCTCCCTCGACCCTTGTGTATTGCATAATACATATTGCCCAAAATTTCATGCGAGAAATCAAAGACAAATTACTAAGGAAGAAGGTTGTGAACGAAGGATATGCACTAAAAGAGCCCATATTCAAACACTACCGTGACGAGATCAGACTGACAAACACGGATGCATTAAGGTGGATTAATATTATTGATAAAGAGAAATGGTCACGGGCATACAACAATGGTGTGCGATGGGGACACATGACAACTAACCTCGTTGAATCAATGAATTCTGTTTTCAAAGGAATTTGAAACCTACCAATAACTACCTTGGTAAAGGCAACATATTTTAGGCTAGGCGCACTCTTTGATAACTGACGTACGAAGTGGGGTTCAGTATTACAATCTGGTCAGCTGCACAGTAATAGTTCATCAACATTCATGAAAGACAAAGCTGCCAAAGCCAACACACATGTGGTCACAATCTTTGACCATAATAAAGGTTGGTTCAGTGTTGCCGAGTCAATTGATCACAATGAAGGAAGGCCTAGGGGATGTTACCGGGTTGAACTGGATAGGAGCTGGTGTGACTGTGGAAAGTTTCAAGCATTTTGTATGCCTTGCTCTCATGTTATAGCAGCATGTTCGAAGGCGCGCCAGGACCTAACCAACTATCCTTCTACAATTCAACAAGTGATAAGTCTATGCAATGTCTACACATGTAGCTTTCAGGTGGTGGCAAATGAGGACTATTGGCCTCAATACGAAGGCGAAATTGTCTGGCATAATAATTTGATGCGAAGAAAGAAAAAGGGTCACCCTAATAGCACACGCATTCGAACGGAGATGGATGCAGCAAACAAAATGGTAAGATTATGTAGTTCGTGTCGGCAACCAGGACATAATCGTACAACATATCCTAATGTAGGATCAAGTGCAAGATCATAATGTCTAATGTAACTGTGTCTCTTTAAATCAACAGCAAATTGTCTTCCATTTAAAGCATACTTAAATTTCATTCTATTTAAACAAACATAACTTAATATCACAATAACATTCTGAAAATAACAACAACAAGCCAACATAAAACAGTACAATGCATCAAGGTGTCTACGATATCACAACCATCAACGTTATCTTCTTTGGTGTTAACATCATCACAAGGACACCAGCATCATTTTCCATTTTTCTCCATTCACGAGTAAATATATT